ATAGGATTCATTTTCCTTTTTCTTCTTTGATGGTGATCTGACTCATCACCAAACTAGAATTACAGAACTATTACCCACTGAAATAAGTGAGACTCATAAATGTATCTGACCAAGCAGAAGGACTGGAAAATATTAGAGCTTTATCTCACGTGAACTGAGTTAGAACTCAAATGCAAGGTGAAATTCAAAGCAAAATATAGACAACTCAATGTCTGAATTTGTGATACAGAGCTTAAAAGAAAAAATCGTAATTCGTGGTTACATTATACATCAATTTCAGTGCCTTCAAAGTTTACTCGTTCAATATGTCTGTAGGTCTTTTATGCATTAAATATGTAAAGACATTCAGTAGCTAACGTTAGCAAAGCGAAATAGCCCAAAATAAATAGTTTTTCTGTAAACGAAGAAACTTTTATTGGTATTGATTCAGGGTCAGATACATCATGCTTTTGAAAATCAGCTGATGTCTGGAGAGCTTTTTATCTGAATGATTTTCCCTTTAAGTTTGTGTCTGAGAAGCTCAGACGTTGAAGATATAGCAAAAGAGAACTATCTGGTTAAATAAGCGATAATTTTTGCATGCAGCCTGACTTGGCAGCAACTTTTTTAATGTACTTTACTTATCTTCATTGGCATCCTTTTTTTTTTTTTTTTCTGCTTTATTCTCTTCATTAGTTATCACATCTCTAATCCTATTTTGCACAAAGAGCTAGAGGTAAGGAAAAAGAAAGCACCAGCAAAATTCATGGTTGAAAAGATTTTTGGAAGGAGGCCCATGATGGCCCAGTTGCACAAGGGTTTTTCTGTCTTTCAAACTGGGGCTTTTTTGTAGACCCAAAGTGCTATTTTAGGTACTTCTCTGTAAGGGAATGTTAAGAGCAGAAAGACTTTTTTTAAAAAAAAAGTTATTTCTTTTTTTCTCTTGGATGTGGTCACTTATTAATGGAAAAGTAAATGAATGAATGGAAATGCAATCCATACTTTTGTGATGACTACAAGCACATTTCCAACTTCAAAAATTTATTAATTTTGTCAATACTATATTTAAACAAATCCTTTTATATAACGTATGATAACAAAACTTTCTGCACTGTGTTCCAAGTATTTTATTATTTTTTCATGCAAAATACAGAAAAATGTATTTGTTATCTTGAGCTGGGTGCTCCCAAAAAATCTAGTCACATCCTGAGGTTGTATTAATGCATTTAAACTTCTTGAATTTATGAACAAACAATATATTCTCTTCCTGGCAGCCAGTTCCAGTACCTCACCACTCTCTCTGTAAAGAATTTCCCCCTGATGTCCAACCTAAATCTCCCCTCCCTCAACTTAAAACCATTTCCCCTCGTCCTGCAGTTATCTACCCTTTCAAAGAGTTGATTCCCTCCTGTTTGTAGGCTCCCCTCAGGTACTGAAAGGCTGCAATGAGGTCACCCTGCAGCCTTCTTTTCTCCAGGCTGAACAAGCCCAGCTC